ATAGCAAGGTTGAAGAGGAATCTCCCAAATCTTACAAAGTTGTCAATTCCAATTCTCCATCTCCAAAAACAAGAAAATAAAAGTCTTAAACTAAAAAAAAGAAAAGTAAAGAGTGTCATTCAATAATGAGAGTAAAACAGATATATATGGCCAAAATACGTTTTTGGACCAAGAAAACACGTTTTGATTCAATAAAATGGGATTAGGTAACTGATTTTCCTCACTTTTTTTTACAGTTTTAGAGACTGGATCGATCGATCCACTCCCTTTCTCTGCATTTGCTTCTTTTGCTCGCCAGACAGACATGTCTTCACTAAACCTTTCATAACTTTTGATCGCACCGTTGGAATGACCTCAAATTTCTTCCAAATGAAAGCTAACTCGATGTTCTAGCATGTGTCTAATTTTAGCTCGATCCATCGGTGGAAAAGGCATCAACGAGCACCCAACTTCTGACCATTTTCTGCAACTTTGCATTTTCTGCATTTTTGCTTCCATTCTTTGCTCATTTGCCTTAGACTTCATCCAAACGTGTTTTTACCTGAAAAGACTCTAAAAACATAGAAGAGACTCGATAAAACTCAGAAAACATAGGTTAGAATGCGTTAAAAACGCAACACATCAGACAAGGGCTTTCAAAACCCGATCATTACCTTTCCAAAGAACACCGATGACTTGACCTGATTTTTTTTTGAAACTGGTGATCAATGGCTCGAGGGTAGCCTAGTCTCCAACCAGAAAGCTCGAACATAGTTTATACACCGCCCAATTAGCATCAGCCCAAGCAAAGAGGATTCCAAACTACTAATGCAATGTCTACGCGAAGAAAAAAGTGAGTATGTTGCGAAGAGGACATATCAAAACAGAACAGAGGAGAAACCTATAGAACTCCTAGGTAACACTAGACAGCCAGCATCAAAACACCAAACGATCCTAACGTCCAGAGAACCTCTAAAGACAAGACACAAATTCACGAATCGAAGTCCATCGACACAAAACCAAGCCACACAATAACTAATCCGACGGTCGCGATCTGAACGGGAAACCAAAGATCAGAGGCGAGCCATACGTGAGAGTAGAACCCGACGAGACCCAGACAACAACAAAGCAACAATCCGAAAGGCCGAACAGATCTGAGAAGGACAAAGCCTACAATCGCGATCTGAACGGGAAACATCAAACACGAGAAGCGAAACGAAGCACCTACCGCATGATCCCTTCCATCTCCAGCCTTCAGGACCACCTCGCCGAGCCTCTGAGATAAGA